ATCTCGGCAATTACAAGGTCTTTAGATGTAATCAAACCCCCACCATTTTTCCCAGCTCTGGCATGCTGAATGCTGACTGTTGAGCTGTTGATTACCACAATGCCTTTTACATAAGCACCTCCTCCATACCCTCCTGCCGTTGCGTTCTCGATGAAAATGGCTGATCCCTCCATCACAGACATGGGCCCCGCTGCTGCGAAGCCTCCGCCATTTACACGAACAGCTGTGGTACCTCTGAGCTGGAGCCTGCCAGCGGCTAAGGTCACTGCTCCGCCTGCCACAAAGCCACCCCCTGTGAGCGTAGCTGTGGCATTCCGCATGAAGATCGACGAGTTTTCCTCTGAAGAATTGCACAAACAAATGTCAAACAGACCAATGTCTACATCACAAGCAATGCCTATGCCGCATGCCTCTACAAAACATGTCGTGTGACAGCTTCTGTCATCTCCAGCATCTGCGTTGCTATTTGAACTCTTAACAGATTGAGGTCGCAGCTGAAACATTGACATCTCCCATCGCAAGGACACCAGCACCGGCTCTGGCTGACATGTTCTCCATGAAGACTGTAGAATCCAGTTGAAGCCTCCTAGGATGCATGAACAGGATGAATAGATATGTGCATAGGACGCGGCATGCACGTCACTCTTGAGCCGGTGAGTTACCATGCAAAACTTTCTGTCTCAAAGCGGTCAAGCGAATCCATCTGTTCCGCAAACTGCTTGTATCGCCACCAAATTCTACCAAATCTTATGCCCTATACAGTAATTATGTGCCACGTCTCAATGCTGCTGCACCGTAGAAGCCGCCACCATAGTCTTTGGCTAAAGCATCCACCACCCGAAGGGTTGAATTGGCCAATGTCCTGAGCCCAAAAAGGTCCCAACGGTCGAGTCCTCTGGAGGTATTTGTTGCACCTCAAGACTCCACTGATCCCTTAATCATGTGATATCTTTTGACTTCGACTAGTGACTAAGCTTCATAAAGGGGTTTGACACAGTCTTTCCACAACGATCAAGCTTTTAGTTCACCTGAAAAATAGCCTTTACACTGTGCTTGTGAGAGCACAATCACCTAAAACTTTGGGTAACTATTTATATATATATTTTTTTATTTAACGTATTAACACGGATTTGACACCATGGTTGTATCATGAAACAAGAGGGTGTTCTCAGTGACAGCACAAAGCAGGCTCATCACAAACCCCACCCACGGTGTGAAGACGTGAATCGGAACATGCAAGACAAAGGAACTGCAAGACGCAAGGTGAGTGCCACAAAGGAACGGCCATGGTGGAAGTTTTGGTGATGTGACTTTTGAAAGGGAGGGTTCGTGCAATTGAATGGGCCTGAGGCAAAATTATATGTGTTACTGTTTTGAGACTTCAAACTACTGCTAGTTATGTTGTATCATTGATTATAATATATTATAATTGTATATGTCAAGTGGTAAAAAAATGTAAAAATGTCCAATCCAATCTGCCATGAATTACAATTTTTTTTCACATGCCCGAGATGCCGTCGAATCAACGAAATGACATTCTAGTCTAGAATATCCACACCCAACAAACCCCATTTCTTACCAATTCCTGGCCTCGCACCGGCCCCACGCCGGCGTAGGCCGCCCCTGCTCACGTTCTGCGCTCAGGGTCAGGTCCCCCACCGCTGCGAGGCCGCCACCCTTCACGGCTGAGGTGTCCCGAACCTGCAGAACTCCGCGCGTGACGGAGACGCCCCGGGGGCGATGGGGGGTTGGCTTGTGAAACGACTGCTATGTGTGACAATCCATGGCATGGGGTTTAGACATGGTTTATGTAACATGTCGTTGTAAAAATATGTTTTTGCCATCTATGAGGTGATGAAGAACTCATATGATATACAATCCAAGAAGCCGTCAAAGTGGAATTGGTCAAAGTGAATGGCCCTCTGCTCGAAAACGCGCCACCCTGGTCAATCAGTTCGTCTGGATGATCTTCATGCCAAGCTTCCACATGGGCATCGTCAAACACCACAGTCCTGGGAGGCAAAACAAGAACTGTGAACCCCCCCATAATACCTACTGGGAGGCAGCTGTGGGAAATCCGGGTTCAGCCGCATTCAGCCTATGAAATTTGGATGCTTTGCACGGTTTTGCCATTTGCAAACGGCGCTCTTCTCTTATAAAAGACAAGGATCTCAGCGTCGAAGCGGAGCGAAGTCATTGGGATGTGCCTCAGAAAGTTCTGAAAATCGGGGGTTCCTAAGCATGTCAACGGTATTTGTTTGAACAAATGCTCTCTACAAAACGAGAGTTGACCATCTGCAGTAAGTCCAATTGTAGTGGTGCTTGCACAAACGGTTCTGCGGATGGTCAAATTGATTAGCTTCCAAACCCGCTCGAGTCAAGTCCTGAGAGAGTGACAGCTAGGTGCCTCAGATCCTGCCCAGGTGCCCAGTGATGCGCAGCTCACCCTGCGTGCGCAGGGTCGCCACACCGGTCACATTCTCCGCCGTCACCAGCCGCGCCGGCGCAGCACGGGGTCCATGAAGCTCACAGCGTTGAGCGTTCGATGGCGGCCTTCGGAGCCCATCGCTCAGCGGATTGCAGGCGACGCGCACCCGAATTATATAGATCAAAATTCGTAAGATATGATTCGTTGTGCAATTGAAACCAACCTTCGT